CGCTTAATAACTGAGCCACTCAGGTGTCCCTAATTTGGGGAATATATTAATGTCTAAGAGTGTTAAATCTTCTGATCCATGAATGTGGATGTCTTTCCATTTATTTAGAAGTTCTTTTATTTCTTTTAACAATGTTTGTAGTTTTTCTATGCGTATAAGTTTTATACTATCTTGTTAAGTTGTAAGAATTTTATTATTAATGCTGTGATAAATGGAATTGTTTTCCCTTTTTTTTTTTTTTAAAGATTTTATTTATTTATTTGACAGAGACAGATTACAAGTCAACAGGCAGGCAGAGGGGTGGGGGAAGCAGGCCCCCTGCTCAGCAGAGAGCCTGATGTGGGGCTCATTCCCAGTACCCTGAGATCATGACCTGAGCTGAAGGCAGAGGCTTAACCCACTGAGCCACCCAGGCGTTCCTTGTTTTCCTTTTTTAACGAAAGATTTCATTTTAGGGGGAGAGAGCGAGCATGAATGGGGGAAGGGGGTAGAGGGAAAGAGAGGATCTTAAGCAGACTCTGTACTGACTGTAGAACCTGATTCAGCAGGGCTTGATCCCATGGCCCTGAGACCATGACTTGAGCCCAAATCAAGAGTTAGATGCTCAATTGAGCCATTCAGGTACCCCTGGAATTGTTTTCTTGAATTTTATTTTCAGATTGTTCATTGCTGGTGTATAGAAATACAATTGATTTTTGTATATTGATCTTGCAATCTTGCTGAACTGCCTTTAAGTTTTAGTAATTTTTTAGTGGGTTCCTTAAGATTTTGTATATACAAAAGTATGTATCTATAAATTTAGCTTTGCTTCTTTCTTTTTAGTCTGGCTGCCTTTTATTTCCTTTTCTTGCCGAATTAGAACCTCTAATATAGTGTTGAATAGAAGCAGTGAGCATGAACAGTTATGTTTTGTTCCTGATCTTAGGAAGAACCATGCAGTCTTTTACCATTAAGTGTGATGTTAGCTGTGAGTTTTTCCTAAGTACCTTTATCAGGTTAGGACATTGAGTATTTTTTATCATGAGGTATTGGATTTTGTCAAATTTTTTTTCTCTTTTGAGCTAATTGTGTGATTTTTGTTACATTCACATTTATGTGTGCTCTTCTATTCTTGATTTTCGGAAAGTCTCATGCATTATAGAAATTAAAGACTAGTGATTATCAACATTTGGATACATGGTAACAAGCCTTGAGAGTAGGTGAGATTTCCCAGAGAGAATATATAGAAGAAAGTGGTCAAAGAGGAAAATTTGAGGATTATAAATAAGTATTCAATATACCATGTGCAATGCTTAATTTAATTTAATTACAGTTGGTAAATTTAATTTAATGAGAACTTCATCTAAGTTAGGTTGTGGTTTTGCTTTACTAGTTAATTGTGCTATTGTCTACAGCTGTTGATGGGTCTGAAGAATGGTAACATGGGAAGTTTTTATGCTCTTTATTTGGTATTTCTGTGTACTGATAGAACACTTAAAGTACAGTTGCCCCTTGAACAACACAGGTTTGAACTCCATGGGTCTGTTATATGTGGTTTTTTTCAATAAATACAGTATAGTACTACAAATGTATTATCTCTTACGACTTTTTTAAGATTTCATTTATTTATTAGAGAGAGCATGAGCGGAGAGAGGAGAAGAGGAGGAGGAAGAGGGACAAGCAGATTCCGCACTAAGTGTGGAGGCTGACACAAGGCTCAATTCCAGGATCCTGAGATCATGGCCTGAGCTGAAAGCAAGAGTCAGATGCTTAACCAAATGAGCTACCCAGGCACCCCTCTTAGAACTTTTTTTTTTTTTTTTTAAAGATTTTATTTATTTATTTGACAGAGAGAGATCACAAGTAGGCAGAAAGGCAGGAAGAGAGAGAGGCAGGGAAAGCAGGCTCCCCGCTGAGCAGAGAGCCCGATGCGGGACTCGATCCCAGGACCCAGAGATCATGACCTGAGCCGAAGGCAGCGGCTTAACCCACTGAGCCACCCAGGCGCCCCCCTCTTAGGACTTTCTTAATAACATTTTATTCTCTCTAGCCTACTGTATTGGGAGAATATAGTATATGATAGATATAACATACAAAATATATGTTAATTGACTGTTACCGGTAAGGCTTCTTGTCAGCAGTAGAGTGTTAGTAGTTAACTTTTTGGGGGTTAAGTTATATGGGGATTTTCAGCTGCTCAGGAGGTCAGTGCTCTTAACTCCCAAGTTGTTCAAGGGTCAACTAAGTTTTTAAGTAAAGGAAGAGAATCAGCATCTTATTTTGCAATGAATATATACATGACAAATAAATATAGAAAAACTTGAAACTTTGTGAATACTGCTAGTTCCATAAATTTACCATTTTAACAATATAAGATGCTGGAATTTACCTCCTCTCTGGTAGAACAAATGTATGTGTGAAAAAAAAATCAAATTGTGGATTATTTCCATCATGAAATTATTATACCGTCGTAAGGAACCTGGAGCATGTACAGTAGGAAACAGCCATAAATCCTCAGACTCTGAATTGAGAATTAGAACTAGATAGTGCTTTCACTCTTCATTTTTGCTTTGTCCTTTGAATTACTAGTGCTTATAAGGTAATGTCTCTCTTTTTTTTTTTTTTAAAGATTTTATTTATTTATTTGACAGAGAGAGATGACAAGTAGGTAGAGAGGCAGGCAGAGAGAAAGGAAGGGAAGCAGGCTCCCTGCTGGGCAGAAAGCCAAATGCGGGGCTCGATCCTAGGATCAGGACCTGAGCCAAAGGCAGAGGCTCTGACCCACTGAGCCACCCAGGCGCCCCTCCTTTTTTTTTTTTTTTTTTTTTTTTTTTTTTTTAAGATTTTTTACTTATTTGACAGATCACAAGTAGGCAGACAGGCAGGCAGGAGAAGAAGGGAAGCAGGCTCCTTGCTAAGCAGAGAGCCCGATTCGGGGCTAGATCCCAGGATTCTGGGATCAGGACCTGAGTTGAAGGCAGAGGCTTTAACCCACTGAGCCACCCAGACGCCCCTAAAGTAATGTCTCTTGATTTTTGTAATCACTGCTAGCAGTTACTATGAAAAAACTCTGATTTCAAGGCATTAAAAATTAATTATGGTCATAGTAGTTATTGGTGAGACTACCTGTTACACTCTTACAAGTAACTTGTTTATATATTTCAGCTTTATTCAGTAAAATTTACAGTTAAAATGATACATAATTCAAGTGTACGGCTTGGTAATTTGATATGTATACATTGTGAAATATTCACCAAAATCAAGCTAATTAAAAAAGACTGCTGCACAGTTACCATTTTCTTTTTTTTTTTTTTGTAGAGATAACACTGAATATTTACTTTCTTAGTAAATTTCAAGTATATAACACTTTTTTTTAAAGATTTTATTTGTTTATTTGACAGAGATCACAAGTAGGCAGAGAGGCAGCCAGACAGAGAGGAGAGGGGAAGCAGGCTCCTTGCTGAGCAGAGACCCAATGTGGGGCTTGATCCCAGGACCCTGGGATCATGACCTGAGTTGAAGGCAGAGGCTTAACCCACTGAGCCACCCAGGTGCCTCTCAAGTATATAACATTGTTAACATTGTAGAATAGCCATTCTATAAGACCTTTTAAACTGTAGAAATATCCTAGCTGAATGTCAGCATTTAAGATCTAAGCAATGAGAATTACCTATTCTAAGCTTAAATTAGTTGATAGTCTTGGAGAGTATTGCAGAAAGTTACTGAAATTCTCCACAATTTAGTCATGAATAACCCAAATTATTTGGTTCATCTAAAAAAGATCTTGTTATATTGATCAAGTCATCAATGGTATGATTGGTTAAAGTCATTTTGTGGGATGTTTGTTACCTGAAATTTTATGTTTTCCTTGAACTGCATTATTAGAATTATCTGAAATCATATGAATAATCGAAGAACAATAGGTTTTTTAATTTGAGGCACAAAAAGAGTAGAATATTGACTGATTAACTATGAACTATTTCTAAAGTTAATAGAGAGTGGGATGCCCCACCGTGATGCCCACAACCTATATACTATCTTATAATGTGTTAAAGGAGCTAGCACATCTAACCGGAGGGTCGGAACACAAATCAGCATTCTTAAAAAGACAAATCAACATAGCTGTGTAATAGAAGATGCATATTTAGTGACTGTAAGTTATTTCTTCTGTTTAAGTATTCAAGATATTTAAAAAAAATGCATGTACAGCAAAAAGATTGTTGACTTAGCCATTTCTAAGAAATGTTTCTGTTTAGTCACTTTTCTAAAAATTTTTATTTATTTATTTGAGGTAGAGAAAAAGAGCAAGAGGGAGCAAGCACGAGCTGGGGAGTGGGCAGAGGAAGAGGGAGAGAAGGACCCTCTGCTGAGCAGAGAGCAGGTCCTTGGGGCTAGCTAGATCCCAGGATCCTGTCATCATTACTTGAGCCGAAGGCCGATGCTTAACTGGCTGAGCTGCCCAAGCGCCTCTGTTTCCGTTTAGTCCTATTCTGTGGTCCTTAAAAATCTGGAAAACTGACTTCTTTCTTTGCCAGCATGGAGTAGATAAAAATGAGACTACTCACTAGAGAAAAATGGATAGATGATTATTTAGGTACTGAAGTTGTAATGAGGTACTTCACGCATTTTACACTATATATAGTCATCACAAACACTAAAAAGAGTCATCACATACACTTTTTTAGTTTTAAAATGTAATAGGTGATGAGGTTTAAAGTTGTGCAAGTCTGTAGATAGCAATGCATATTCTAGTATATACTTAAAAAATGGTAATAGTGACTTCTATTAGATGATCCTGTGACAAAATACATAGTTCTATCATCATCACATCTATACATTGTGAAGTATGTGTAACAGCAGCTGGGAAGCATTTTATATTATGAAATTGATACATTTCTTTAACACTCTAAAGGTAAGAAAAACTAACCATTTTTAGACTGTTAATTATGTTCTTTAAACATATATACATGTATGGCCTTTTAATGTGAAAAATTACTGCGTTTCTTTTTTCATGACTGCAGGAAGCATATGTGCCTCATTTCTTACCCAAAGCTACCAGCTGCCAGTTCTTGATACAATGTTTTTAAGAAAGAAATACAGAGGCAAAGATTTTGGGCTTCATATGCTAGAGGACTTTGTTGATTCCTTTACAGAGGATGCGCTTGGCTTGCGGTATCCACTCTCCTCTCTCATGTACACAGGTAAATTAAGTTTAACAATGTTAAACTTGTTTCATTGTCCCTTTTAAGTTGTTTCTGAGGAATACTGTAAATGTGCATATATCACTATTAACTAAATTTGGGTTCTTTGGGTCCCTAGGGCTTCATTTTGCAGATGTGTCCTAGTCTCATGTATATGGCAATTTTTGGAGGTGTGGTGGCTTTTTTAAAAAGTTGACATATAATTCATACACCATCAAATTTCACCCTCTTAAAGTGTACAGTTCAGTGATTTTTATTACATTCATAGCTGTGTACCCATAACCAGTATCTAATTCCAGAACATGCTCATTACCCCAAAAAGAAACCCTGCACCAACTAGGAGTCACTCTTCATTCCCCCACTCCTTCATCCCCTAGCAACCACCAGTCTGTTTTCTTCTGTATGGATTTACCTGTCCTCGACATTTCATATAAATATAATCATGTGATATGATTATTTTATAAACCCTTTGTATCTAGCTTCTTTTATTTTGCATAAATTTTGTTAAAGTTCATCTGTGTTAATGGAATACTATGCAGCCATCAAAAGAAATGAAATCTTGCCATTTGCGACAACGTGGATGGAACTAGAGGGTATCATGCTTAGCGAAATAAGTCAATCGGAGAAAGACAACTATCATATGATCTCCCTGATATGAGGGAGAGGAGATGCAGCATGGGGGTTAAGGGGGTAGGAGAAGAGTAAATGAAGCAAGATGGGATTGGGAGGGAGATAAACCATAAGTGACTCTTAATCTCACAAAACAAACTGAGGGTTGCTGGGGGGAGGGGGGTTGGGAGAGGGGGTTGGGGTTATTAGGGACATTGGGGAGGGTATGTGCTATGGTGAGTGTGGTGAAGTGTGTAAACCTGGCGATTCACAGACTTGTACCTCTGGGGGAAAAATATATTATATGTTTATAAAAAATAAAATTAAAAAAAAATGTTAAAAAAAAAAGTTCATCTGTGTTGTAGCATGAATCAGTGCTTCATTCCTTTTTATGGATGAATAATATTCTCTTATGGATATGCTGCATTTTGTTTATCCATCATCAGTTGATGGACTTTTGGGGTTGTTTCCACTTTTTAGCTGTTAATGAATAATGCTGCTGTGAACATTTATATAGTTTTTGTATGGCTATTTCTCTGCACTTAGTTGTGGATAGAATTGCTGGGTCATATGGTGACTCTATATTTAACATTATGAAGAACTCCCAAACTATTTTCTAAAGCACATGTACCATTTTACATTCCCATAAGTAGTGGATGAAAGTTACCATTTATATTGTCACCAACACTTGTTACTGTCTTTCTGTTTTTTAAATTTTTATTTTATTTTCATTTTATTTATTTATTTTTATTGATATATAATGTATTATTTCTTTCAGGAGTACAGTTACTATCTTTTTGATTATAGCCATTCTTGTGGGTGTAAAGTGGCATCTTATTATAGGTTTGATTTGCATTTCATGTTGAGCATCTTTTCATATGGTAGTTGGCCATTTCTGTATTTTGGGGGAAATGTATTTAGATCCTTTGACCATTTCTTTTTTGGGTTCTCTGTTGTGGTAGCTTTTAAAATTAAAAAAAAAAAGGGGTGCCTGGGTGGCTCGGTGGGCTAAAGCCTCTGTCTTCAGCTCAGGTCATGATCCCAGGGTTCTGGGATCGAGCCCCACATCGGGCTCACTGCTCAGCAGGGAGCCTGCTTCCCTTCCCCTCTCTCTGCCTGCCTCTCTGCCTACTTGTCATCTCTGTCAAATGAATAAATAAAATCTTTAAAAAAATTAAATTAAAAAAAATAATTTCAGGGACGCCTGGATGGCTCAGTTGGTTAAGCAGCTGCCTTCGGTTCAGGTCATGATCCCAGCGTCCTGGGATCGAGTCCCACATCGGGCCCCTTGCTCGGCAGGGAGCCTGCTTCTCCCTCTGACTCTGCCTGCCTCTCTGTCTGCCTGTGCTCTCTCTCTCTCTCTCTCTCTGACAAATTAAAAAAAAAAAAAATAATTTCAGACGTATACAAAGATGTAAAGAATAAGACAACAAAAACTCATGTACCATTCAGCATGTGCCATCCATGAGAAATGGATCATTGCTAGTCTAGTTGTACACGTACCCAATTAACTCACTTCCTTCCCTGCAATAAGCACCACCTCCTTTTGGCATTATTTTCCCCATATATTTCTTAGACTTTTTGTTTTCGAGAGAGGGGGAGAGAGAGAAAAAAAGGAGAGAAAGAAAGTGTGTACACAAGCACGTGCATGAGGGATTGGGGCTGAAAGGAGAGAGAGAACCTTAAGCAGACTCCATGCCCAGTGCAGATCCTGATGTGGGGCTGATCTCACTACCCTGAGATCATGACCTGAGCCAAAACCAAGAGTTGGGCACTTAACCTACTGAGCCACTCAGGTGTCCCTCTTAGACTTACAAAGCTTATTTATATATCCTCCAACAATATGTCCTATTGTTTAACATATTTAAAAACTGGGGCTTTGGGTGGCTCAGTTGGTTAACTGTCTGCCTTTGGCTCAGTCATAATCCCGGGGTCCTGGGATGGAGCCCTATTTCAGGCTTCCTGCTCTGTGGAGCCTGCTTCTCCCTCTCCTTCTACAGCCCCTCCCTGCTTGTGTGCTCTCTCTCTCTCAAATACATAAAGTCTTACAAAGACTTTTATATAAATGATACATACTGTATGAATTCTCCTGCAGTTTGATTTGTATATTTATGAATTCATTCTTGTGGATTCACATAGCTCTATTTATTCATTTTCAGTGCTGTTTAGTATTCCATTGTATGAATATACACTGTGGTGATATTTAAAAACTATTGGTGGAGGGGCGCCTGGGTGGCTTAGTGGGTTAAAGCCTCTGCCTCAGCTCAGGTCATGATCCCAGGGTCCTGGGATCGAGCCCTGCATCAGGCTCTCTGCTCAGCAGGGAGCCTGCTTCCCCGCGCCCCCCACCTGCCTCTCTGCCTACTTGTGAGCTCTGCTTGTCAAATAAATAAATAAAATATTAAAAAAAAAAAAAACTATTGGTGGATTTATATTTGTACCTATAAATGTTACTCCCAAACCACTGCTTTTCTCTTAATGAAGTAAGATTTAGTCCCAGAAGGTAATTTACTTGAAAGCTTTATTAAAACATAATTTACCATTGATTTTCATCTAACTAGAGATCTTTATTTCCACTGAAAATATGGTTTTGTTCTTAGTTTGCTCCCCCTTTTTAAATATCAGAAATCCAGAAAACAAGAACCAAGTGTTGCATGCCCATTGAATCATAGTTTCTGTGTAGACCCATACATGCGAATGAAATGAACCCTTTATACAGCTGGATAATCTGAAAATAGCTTTCCCCTTAAAATCTGATTATAGCTTTACTGAATTTGGGAAGGAATGTAACATACCCACTGTAGGCAGAATCTCTTAATACTTACTCTTTTCTGGGGTGCCTGGGTGGCTCAGTCGGTTGGTCAGCTGCCTTTGGTTCGCTTGGGATCCCAGGGTGCTGGGATTGAGCCCCATGTCAGGCTCCCTGCTCAGTGGGGAGTCTATTTCTCCCTCTGCTCCTCCCCTCTGCTTGTGTGGGCTCTGTCTCTCAAATAAATAAATAAAATCTTAAAAAAAAAACTTTTCTAATTCTTTTTTTTAAGAAAAGATTTTATTTATTTATTTGACAAAGATTTTATTTATTTATTTGACAGAAAGAGATCACAAGTAGTCAGAGAGGCAGGCAGAGAGAGAGGAGAGGGGGAAGCAGGCTCCCTGCTGAGCAGAGAGCCCGATGTGGGGCTCGATCCCAGGACCCTGAGATCATGACCCGAGCCAAAGGCAGAGGCTTTAACCCACTGAGCCATGCAGGCACCCCCTCTTTTCTAATTCTAATGATAAATTGAATACCAAATGAATTACAGGTGTATGTCTATTTTTGCATAGTCTGAGTGGGCTTTAGCTCCATTTATCCTTCTGTTTAGGCAGGAGGTTGCCGTATAATGTTTATGAATGTAGTGTGAAAGTAAAGGAATATACTGAAAACAGAAAATTTTAGACTATATGGCATCTCTATTTTCTGTTTCTTGCTCTTCTTTCTCTCTTGTACAATACTCATTATATTTGAAGAACTTGGATTTCCATTTGATTTTCTCTTACAACTTAATTAGTAGTTCCTTATGGCTGCTAGATGCCCAGTATTCTTTGATGACCTTTGCTTGTTTCCATTAACATTTTTAATGATCCAGGAAAGATTATAGTGTTGTACGTTGTAAGCTTTAGAAAGAGAATTTGTTTATTCCACAAATAGTAGTGCATGCTAAGTATGGATGGGGTTGGCCTCAGGCTTGAGTAGATGATTTAGGTACCTATGAAAAGCTGATTTACACAGTACTATCACGTACTGATACCTAAACACATAGAATGAATAAGGTCTCATGAATCTTACCCATTTGGCATTTATCCTGGTGTCCCATATGAGGTGTGGTTCCAGTTTTATTTTACTTGACAGGTATAGGATTGCTCTAGTATTATTTGTTGAATAATTTATCTTCTGCACTGATTTGCATTAATATCTATATCAGATCAGCAGACAGTGGTCACTGACTTGATAACTCTTTGTAAAAAAAAAAGTTTTAGGGCGCCTGGGTGGCTCAGTGGGTTAAAGCCTCTGCCTTCGGCTCAGGTCATGATCCCAGGGTCCTGGGATCGAGTCCCACATTGGGCTCTCTGCTCTGCGGGGCGCCTGCTTTCTCCTCTCTCTTGCCTGCCTCTCTGCCTACTTGTGATCTTTGTCTGTCAAATGAATAAATAAAATCTTTAAAAAAAAAGTTTTATTGGAACACAGCTTGTGTTCATTCATTTACATGTTGTCTATGGCTTCTTTTGCGCTAAAATGTTAGAGTTGGTTTGTTTTGACAGTGCCTATATGGTCTGTAAGTCTAAACTACTTACTGTCTGCCCCTTTAAGGAAAAGTATCCTAACTCTTAACCTAGATCATATATTAAATTTG